AGCAGTCAGTTGTAGCAAAAGAAGATGAAGGAGATGATAATGAAGTTTACGAGCATAAGGGAGTTACTTTAGGTCTGATGATAGAAAATTTATCAATTTATAATGTTTAATGCGTTTAACCCGTTATTTGAGATGGAAAAAAAATTGTGGAAGAAGTAAGTGATTTTTTCTTAAGTTCACAAATTTTGTCAAGTTTGAATAAAATTTGAATTATTGAAATTTGAAATTTTAGAATTCCATTAAAACTCTAAAAGAAAATTTCAAAATTCTCTAGCTTATTTGGAGCCGTTCATCATCAATTCTCTTTTTTCGTACACTACACACGCATTTTCCATAACATTAAAATACAATACATAATATTGTATGCAATAACGATTTATTCAAAGTATATGTTGAGCATACAGAAGAATTATTGTAATAGGAAAATATGTGTGTGAATATTTCCTTTCAGCTGTACATACGAAATATGGTAAGAAGCTTACAATGTACATAGAAGAAAAATGTCATGATAATAAATCATTTTATAGCATATGATCATCATTGTATGTTATATTTGATAATGGAAATTACTTCTTTTTGGAAGAAAAAAAAAATGTACGATGAGTAGAAAGCAAGAAGAAGTTATGGAAATATTGAAAGGACTGACAACAAAATTAATTTGTTATGTTAAGTAAATTGAATGAAAAAATGAAAGAAGCATTAATGGCAATAAACTCTAAGCTGACTGCATGTAAATGCTCAATGAATAATCATCTTCTTTTGTTCGACGACGATGTCGTTTGGGCTTTAGAAAAATAATTTAAGATTTTTAGGAAAGACTATCTTAAAACGTGGTAAGTTTAAACCTACTGAACTCATAAAAGTATTATGGAAGTTAAAACTGTCAATAACCTGCAGATTCAAAAGAGGGAACTACAATTTTCAATTTCTTGTTTAATCAGAATTGTTTTTAAGCATTTAATTTATAAATACGACTTTATAATAATCCAGGATTTTGTCCGTGTTTTGAGTTAAACCATGTTTATTTTTGAATCGTGTATTTTTGGTTTAATCTTACAAATTCAACCATTAAGCTTATGCTGATATTTCATAAATTGATCAAAAACTTCCTTCAAGCTATTCAATTTATTCTTTCAAACAGCATCTTAAAGTGCTGAACAGCATATCTTTATTCAGCATATTTATCAGAAATTTTGAACTGTGAATCTCCAAAAATAGAATGTGAATGAATAGAAACCAAGATTATTCACCTTTTGAAATCAATGAATGGAAGCAGAAAATACTTCCCAGATATCAAATTTTACTATCTGAATAAAATGAATTATTCCAAAAGCGATGAAAATATAACAAAAGAGTGAAAAAAAAGTTTGAAGATGCAAAGAAATACTTCTCATTGAAATAGGTCAATAATCCTTTCACTCTATATTTTTATGGCTTTATTTTATGCATGTAAAGATTCACTTTTTAAAGTTATTTTTTTAAACGCTGATTTTTAAGAGCTGATTTTTATCTCAACAAAAAATGAGGAAATTGGAATTTTTTTATGCACATTTTTTATTGAGATTTTTTTTTAAAATATGAATTTAAATAAATTGTGATTTTTAATTCGATTGAACCTCTTTTTTTAATGAATTTGGTAAGACTTTAGACTATGATAGGTTAACGTCAGCGGAGGATCAAAAAACATTTTGAATAATTATTTTTAAAATTTTTGTTTTGAGGGTCGTGTCCTTAGCAAAATGAGGGGGGGGGGGGTGTCTAAAATATATAAGAAATTAAGGAGAATCTTATGATTTCACTTTCAGTCTATTGGGTCATTCCAAATAAATTTCAACCCCTTGCACCCCTAAAATTAAAATCCATAAAATATGCGGAAACAGAAAATAATAAAATAACTTTAGAATATCCCTTCATTAACACGATGAAGCTTCTCCAATGATAAGAATCTCGAGACATTTAAGCATGACAGAGAAAGAAAAGAGAAAGAAAAATAGTCGAGAAAAAAAAGACTAAAAATAACTTTAACGACTTTGCTTCTTCCGTCAGCATATTTCGCTACAACTATTACATTCCATTTTCATGTGATGACGTATAAAAAATATCATCTAATGAGAATCATAATAGAGAGACAAAGAGACTTGGCACAACGACAAAGATTTTTCTTTTAAACAAATTTTTTTTTACAAGAGTTAAAGTCATATTTTTTTGTCGAGAGAAAAATTGGAAGGAAATTTGTATGTGCCTTACGGGTATGCAAAAGTGGAAAGAATAAAATTTCAAATGAAAAAACAAAGGAAAACAAAATTTACTATGTTGTGAGCTTGAAGAATGAAAAGAGCGGAACATGTGATGCAAGAAAAATTATTATGTTCCTTCCTGAACATGCAGCTGCTTTGTGATACTGTTTGCTTTTTTTCTCAATTTTTTATCCCCAGATTAAAACGAGAGCAGCGTAAAAAATTGCATGAGAAACATTATTTCAGCTTCATTTCAATTAAAAACTTTAAGAAATTTGTGAGTGAAAATGAGAATTTCATTTTGCAAGATTTAAACTAAATTGTTTGTGTTAAATCTCTTGAATGCAAATGAGCAGATTGTAAATTATTGTTGATATATCAGAATTTTTCTTTACATTGGCAAAGATTTCTGATGATAATGATCCAGTGTGTAAAAGTAATTGTAGACCTTGTGCAGACAATTATTTATTGAACTTGAATCTTTGTAGTTTTACGAAAGGAGTTGAGGAATCAATCACAAATCAGTTCTTCTTCTACTGTACTTTGTGTATTGATTTTTTTTTACAATTTATTACCTCTTTTAATAATTGATTGAGTTTTGATTTTGATTAATCAGGAGTCTTACAATTATGACGATGTTGGACGGAGGGAGGAGGGTCAAAAATTTGTGACACATCCTGACAGGGGATGGAGGAGGGGGGTTTAGGAACTTTGTGACATGCAATTTTTTAATCAAGAAATTATAATTTTTTTGCGTCTTGGATTGGTCGTCACAAAGGGGGGGTTGACATTTGTGACAGAGAGGGATGGGGTCTAAAAACTAAGTTTTTTGATGGACGCCATAGGTGAACGGCCCCTTATCAATTATTGATTAGCCTCAATTTTTAGTAGCTCTTGTTTAAATTAAATACATTGTACATTACTGGCAAATACTTTACAAACCTAGCAATAGATTATTGATATCTTTACTGACAATTTTTTCTCTAAATCCATTCCCGGATCTTCTAATGGGCAAAATTCTAAATATGCTGAAAATGAAATATCAGCATCAAAACCAAATTCTTAATTTACAAATAATCAATCAGTACCGATTATTTGAAAATCCTCCAAAAATTACTTTATTAAATTCACATTGAACTTTTCGAGTGATTAATGATCTTCATCCCTTGCCAAGAGACCTGTAAAATTCCGTAACAACTTATTCACTGATTTAATTTTTAACCTTGCTTCCTCAACAAGAAATTAATAGCTTTATAAATCAATCAATTAAATTCGAATAAATTTCACTTGTCTAATCAAATCGACCATTAATCTCATAAATGCCTTCTTGAACCAGATATAATTTTGTTTTTGATCTTTTAAATTCGAAGGAAATGACAATTAAAAATACATAAAAGAAGAAGAAACAAATAATGTGAAATAAACAGTCACTTAAAAGTAGAAGAACAAAAAAGTTTATTGTTGAGATTGGAAATGAAAAAGAAAAGAAAGGAAAAAATCTTCTGTAGAATTAGAAAATGATTTCTTTATGTGAAGGTGAAAGTCTGTTGGTTTTCAATAATTGATTTATATTTTTAAAAGGAAAGATAATTCTATGCGTGATTGAATAATGAAAATGTGTATAATAAAAATTGAAAACTATTAAAATGATACGGAAATGACCTTGAATTCTGTTTTATATTTGATGCTGCTTAAAACATATATTAATAATTAGAAATTAAGGTAGAAAATTGGTAGAAAATCAGAAAAAATATGTGAGCAAATTAAACAATAATGACGCAAATATGAAGTCTAAATTTGTCGTGTTCTCATACGTACGATGACGTAAAAACAAGCTTGAATTCGATTAACAAGATTTTTTTTGCTCCATCATTGTGACTTACATCATTTTTCAACATTATTTTGGAAGAATCAAATTTAAATAACTTTGCTCATTTTTCATTATAAAAATAAAACATTTTTGGCAAATTGGTTCTTATTAAAAGAATTCCTTCTAATTTAGCTTATTAAATATTCAAATATTCTTATGATGTCTTCATAATATGATATTTTTAAACTCATCTCCCCTCGTCAGGAGCCTTTCACTTATTACGTAATATTTTTAAGAGATGAGTTCTCAGGTTTTTTGACAGTTTGAACAAAAGAAATTTGGGGCAAAGTGAAAGAAAGGGGTCAAAAAGTTATTTTGTTCGTTACGTAATAAGAAAACGATCCCTCAAAAATTCTGTTATTATGTTAAAATTGCCGTGCTATATTCACCTCTATTCGTGGACACAATAAGTCAGTCTTGTCCAATCGACTCTAAACTCAGCCTTATTATTGGCCTAATATACACAATAAGTCAGTGTTTTCAAACCTTTGAGCCACGTCACACCTTGATTCTAATCAATGATTAAAACCGTATTTTTTTTTAAATTCTTCGTCACACATTAGTGTGCCGCGGCACACAGTTTGGACAACACTGCAATAAGTGAATGATCCCTTAGTTGAGATTTAACTTTGCACTCACAAAAAAATGTAAAACATTTTCTAACTTCGAAACTAGCCAATGCAAAAAAAAATTCAAAGTCATTTACGAACATATTAAATGCTTACAAAACCGTCTTTATCTACAAAAATTTTTCACAAATGCATGATAAAAGGAATGATATAAAGTTAAATATTGAGAAAAAATAAAAATAAAAGTCTGACAAGTCGGTAATGCAGAATGTGAAAAAGAGGTCTTCTACTTTTACAGCACAACACAAAAAGCTCTTTACTTACATTTTTGAATGGACGCATGCCTCCTGACATCTGTTGGAGAAAATTGAAAAAAAAATATAAGGGATGGAAAATTATTTCTCTTTTTAAAGCTCTACCTTCAGTGCTTCTCCTGCGATTCCAGCAATCATATCCCCAGGATTCTTTAGTTGCCCAAGTGAAGTTGTTTGATGTGCGAGAGAATGTCCATACATACTAGGTTCTGGCTGTGAACTTTGTCTTATAATTCTTGATGATTTCGATGGTGATCCTCCTGTCACATAAACCGGTGGAATTGTTGTCGAATGATGATGAACCAATAAATGTGGCCTTAAATGTCCATGAACAATACTATCTTTTGATGTTGAACGATCTAAATAAATTATTGAGGTAGGTGAGGTTGAGGAACGCCGACATGTGCGACATCTTGTAGTCGGTAAAGGCGAAAGAATTTGTGAATCTTCACCGTTGTAATTTTCTGATGATATGGAAATTTGTGGATATGGTGAAAGAGGATGACTATAATTTTGTAACATATCTGGTGCTGATCGATTTTGTTCATCAATTCTGTAGTCGTCTGCACTCTCCTCGGAGCCACCCATATGAGCTCCAGTAACTGAAAGTTGCGGACTTGCCAGATATGTTCGATCTTGTCGTATAAGCATTGGTTTTGATGTTGATGTTGCGGCTGTTGAGGAGGTACATGTGAGTTCATTGGAATTAGTATTAGGAGTTGGTTGCTGCTGTCCATTTGACGTTGGACCATTGTTGAGCACTTTTGAGATTGTCTCGTTTAATAATTTCGAAGTTTCATTTGACGATGCAGAATTGTCCGCATTTGTGATTTTTTCAGTTTCCTCTGTTGACGATTCCATTTTTGTGCCTTGTCACTGTTAATTCTGCAACGAACGAGATAAAATGAAAATTGAAATATTGAAGAATTTTTAATGCACTTTACAGGATTAGGAAAGGATCTGGAATGTGAACATTTAAAAACACACACTCAGTGGTTTTATTATTCTCGTTCATCTCTATTTTTTAAAAAAATTATCTCCATTTTATAGTAGTTTTATATTTGTGATATATACTGCAAAATCTTTTTTAATGTACTTTGTCATATTTAACCAACATGAAACTCTCTTTTGATTGATGTCAAAATGTGAAGCGTAAGTTGCAATGAAATTTACTTGTACAAAACCAAGTGACGTTGAAAATCATGCAAAAAAGTTTTAAATTAAATGTTTTAAAGAATTAATCTCTCCTCCAAACCAAGTTTTAGTTTCGCTACTGATAAAACTTTAATTAATTTTTGATGCTTCAGAATTAAATTAATATCTTCAGATTTATAAATTATGAATAAATACGGTTAAATTTCTTTTTCATAGAAAGATTCCCAACTTCAAAAAGTCATCATACCCAGCCATCGAAGTAGAACATTAAAGCAATCTCATCCTCACCCCATAAAAATGAAATTTCATTACTTTGCATCAACATTTTTGTTTAAGTTAATTGCACTTCTTATTTTAAATATTTTTAGAGCCGCAATCACACTATGACATGACAGTGAAAGCACAGGAACCGTTGTCATTTTTACAGACACTTTCATTCGCTCGACACTGTTTGTTTTTCCTGAGATTCTTATTTTTGTTTAAAATATTCAAATGAAGAAGATTTTTTTGTTTCTTTTTGGCACTTTGTTGTGTGAAGGTTTTCCATAAGCATATTAAGGAATTTGAAATTTAATTGATGCATGATGTTTTAGAATAAAAAATCTTTATATTTCTAAGGTTCGCTAAAATTTATTGAAAATCAAAAAATAATAATTTTACAGATACTACAAAAAATAAGTTCATCAGATCATTCCTTAAATATTTAAATCCTCCTCCCAATGCTTTCAAAAGACTCAAACTCAAAAGAATATTCATTGTCATATTCGTGATGCATTATGCAAATTCTATGAATATAAATCAGGATCTTCCCGGAACAGATAATGAAATGATAATGTTGAAGAGATTGTTGGCTCATTAAAAATTAAAGGACTTTTTGTATGTAATTTGCTTTATTATCCTCTAAAGAACTACAGATTATGAGCTTACATCCTTTTGGAATATATCAACTTTTAGTCTCCCAAAGATTTGCTTTTAATATATTAAATATTTAATGCACCTCTTAAATTCTCCACTACTTACTAAACCCACACAAATTACCTCAATAATTTTGATTTTAACACATCAAAACTTGAATTACCACACTTTCTATCCAGTCCTTCATTATCTTCATCTTTATTAATTATAAATTGTCAGACATAGAATTTAAAAAGCACACATAACCCTCAACATACAGTATGCATAAAATTTACCACATTTAGTCAAATGCACTGATGCAAAAGTAATTACATTTCATGATCGATTCAAAAAAATTAAGTTGCAACTCATTGCAACACATAGACCGCTACATCATGGTTTTAAAATTATTTATAGATGAGAAAATTAATGAACAGAAGAATCTTGGATACGCTTTTTTATGAAAATGTTTTTACAGGAAAGATTTTTTAGGGAATGAATTGCTGATGAAAAACAAAGTTGAAACTAATTACATAGAAATTTTATAGTACTTAGTTTGAATGAAATGAGAAATTGTTGAATATACTGAGTAAACTGAATTTATTTTATTATAAAAAGTAAAATTAAATCATGACTTAATGTTGAGCTTTTTAAAATTTTCAATTAAAATGTTTCTGCTTTTAAGTTTATCAAGCTTTTGTATTTGATCAATGAAAACTGAGGAAATGTTCAATGAAAATTATGTCATGTATTGCACATGAATACGAAACATTTATAATTAAAAATGTCTATTAAAATTATTTTAATAAGTCAAAGTAATTAAAAATTAATTACAATTTATTTATTTTTCCATTCTATGCTTTATTTTAATATTCATGCTGCTTTTGCCAAGTTTTTGAATCTGTTGCTTGCTTGAGGACTTAAACTAATGATAAGTAAACTGTTAGATTACGTATACAATACCAAAGAAGGTTTTTAAGAATTTCATTCATGATGCTAAGAAAACATCAAACAGATTTTAAAATGTCAATGCAGATAAGGGGCCGTTCACTTATTACGTAACGCGAAAAAACGACTTTTTAAACCCCCCCCCCCTTACCCCTTGTAATAAAATTTGTACAAAAAAAATTCTTTTCTTTGAACCGTAACAAAATCTTAGACCCACCCTCCCCCTCAAAGCGTAACGTAATAAGTAAACGGCCCCTAAGAGCTGTTCACTTATGAAGTCCGTCAAAAACATGACTTTTAGACCTACTCTCTCCCTCTATCACAAAAGTTCTATGTAAACGAATTTCAATTTTTTTGAAGTGTCTTAGAATCCTTGCCCCCTCACCCCTCAAAAAAGAGGCTAGTACTAATCAAAGTCAGTCTCGTGAATAGAAAAAAGGAAAGATATTGATATAGGTTCACTTATTGTGTGATGGTTTTAGGGGGAGAGAGGTCTGAGATTTTGTGACAATCGGGGGAGGGGGGTCAAAAATTAGTTTTTTGCGGTACGTAATTAAAAATCTATGCTTAGAAATTGAAAACAATATTAAGACTTATAAAACTCCATAAACAATATTGTATCTAAATAAATCAATTGGCAATTTTTCTCAACAAATCAAATAAAATAAAACTTCTCCTCAATTGCACATTGTCCTACATTCCTACTAAAGTCAACAGCAAAATTTTATCGATTATTATTTTGCACAGCATTTAATTAAATTCCAGAGGTTTCATTTGTATTGCCTAAACTCTATTAATTATGCCCTATAAATTTTTCATGCTGTCTATGTTATTTGGTATGTTTGTGTGCTCCCCAGCAGGCAAGTAATAAAATAACAAACTAGAACAAAATTGATAAAAGAGTCTGCAACAATAGCACATGTTTTAAGAAAGATATCAAATTTCTGGTGTAGAGGCACAAAAAGATAAAATAGATTGAAGTATTATTTTCATGTAAAATGAGATATGTGTGGCTAAAGTATGAAGTCTTTAAAAAATACTATAAACTGAAAGTACCAACAGAAGTTGGATATACACCTGAAGATTCCATTAATTTTCACTTTTAAAGCTCTGAAATAAAAATTTTTGCACATGAAACTTTATGAATAAATAAAATTACGCCCGAAAACTTCTCTACTGTCATTCCATTTACGTTTTTTTCTTCTTTGTCTAAATCCATTTATAACAAAAAAAAAATGTGTATCGCAAATTTCCGTGTCGTAACACAAAACTCACACATAAAAAGTTTTCATGATTCTCAAGAATTGTAGGCTAAAAGGATCTTGACCTAGGGGAAGAAATGTGCTGATTTTCATGTCTTGTGCTTTTTCTCATTTCATGTTTACACTTAGTATTGTGGACGTTAACGATCCTTTCTCCACATTCAATAGATTTTTGCTTGTCATTGATAGCTTGCACGATATGTTTTGTAAGCTTATAATTGCATTAGTTACTGAGCACAAGATTAAGAGTTGTTTTATAGCAGTGCTTCATAAACTAAGCCTCGAGACACATCTGATTTTTTTAAAACATAGCAAAACATATAGTGACATACTTAATTTACGCTTGAAAAAAAAAATTAAATGTGTCGCAAAAGTTTGAGAACCTCTGATCTACAGGATTATCTTATTACTTTAATCAGTATGCATTTATGTATATTAATTCCTAATCTGTTGTCATTTTAATATTTAACAAAACGTTTTTCTAATTAATGCCTTAATAATCAGAATTAAAACAATTATTTTTACAAATTAGTGTTCTAATTTCTTAAACTCAACCAAAAACATTATTAATTCAACATTATACGCCTTTTTGTTTTCTAATAATAAGAAATAATTAATTAATCGTGTTTCATACAAAACTTTTCTGTTAATAATAAATTTATATCGATAATTATTGGTTTTAGGAAAGTGGCTCAACAATTATCGAAATATTTTTAATAGGACAAAACTTTGTGATAAGTTTTTACACTTTGTTCGGCTGTTGGGCTGCTCGGGCGAAGGAAAACTTTTGTCTGGTTACATCGTAGAAAGCTCGGATTTGTTTTATTAGCTCCTTTACTATCGATTTATCAACCCACCGAGTGGTTAAAAGTCTTCAAATCATGTATTTATGCTATAATTAATGATTTTTTATTTCATAAACAAAACCATGTGATGAGCATGTTTAAAAATTTGAATTTTTTTTCTACTGCTTTAAAAATTGTTTTGGGTATGTTCAGAAATTCAAATTTATTCTTAATCGATTCAATTTTTGATGCTTGTCAAATACTGATCGCTGCGTAGGGTTACCATCTAATTTTCAAGAAAATATAGGACTTTTGGTAAATTTTTTCGAAAAATACAGGACATAGAGTAAAATTCGAAAATTAACGGAAATTTTCGTGAAAAAAATACAGGACCTGGAACAAAGTTTTCAAATTTATACAGGACAGGGTTTTGAAATACAGGACTGTCCGTTGTAAAACTACGCAGATGGTCACCCTATCGCTGCGTCAAAAATGCGTTTAAGTCTCTCGATTAATAACACGAGGACTTCTTTAATTTTTTTCTCATATCATGAAAACTATTTAAACTTGGAAAGCTTAAAAAGAATCAATTCTATATTTCGATGTAAAAATTGAAAAAAAATTATATTCAAAATTCCGAATTGATTTTATTGATAAATCAGATAAATCAATAAATAAGATGACAAAGGAAATGAAAAATTTCTGATAAATTTGGAATTCAGTTGAATTTTCTCACTGAATGTTCTAAGTAAGAATTCCAGTTTTGTCGACTTAAAAAAAATTAAGCTGTAAAAAGCTGTCCAAATTTAATTTAACT